AAGATTGGAGCCTGGGCACTCACTCACAAGCCAGGCCCACGCCTTACTGTGAAATGACATCAGGAACACCTGTAACCTTTGGCTGGCCGAAGGGAGCAGATGCTAACTACACCGGAGATTCCGAATTACATATTAGTTAGCGTTTAAAAGAGAAAATGGAAAGTATTGCCCACTGTCTGTTGATTTCAGAGTGCTGCTCTCACATCTGTTGCACCATCTGGATTATGAGTTTATTTACCTGTGTTCAAGAAACGTAAAGCTGAGAGAGACCACAACAAAGTAGAAAAACAAAGGGCTTGTTTTTGGCTGGATTTTCAGGCACACATGTTATATAAAGAAAATAGCATCAGAAGCTCTGCGGGAAATGCTCTGAGCTTACAGTTAAAGTCTCCTGAATAGCATTGAACAGTTCCCACAGTACACACATTATAGCTACTCTAAAAGCTTAATGAGTTTGCTTCGGCATCCAAACTGGAGAAAAGCTTTAGCCATTAATCGGTTCTTAATTCACTGTCGCAGCTGGATGTAATTCACTGGCTCCAAATTGATATGTTCCTTTATTTAATCTTTGCAGCCTCAAACATTTTTAGCATTAGTATGTTTTCCCCAACCTAACAGGATGTTTAATCCTTTGCATGCTTCAAGTTCTTATCACTGCAATTTAAATTTACTAATGCGTGGCACTGACCACAGCTGGCAGCTTGGCTGAAAGCTGACATCTTTCATCATGTTGGCACACCTGACCTATAACTTTTTACCTTTAATCTTAAAAGTAAAATGGACTTTTAAAATATTCATTTTCATTTGTTCATAGTCAAAGTGCTGTGCCGGCCTTTTTATATTATAACATTCTGCATTTTTGGAAAGTTATATTATAACGTTCTGCATTACTTAGTAGTGCTAACAAGGCCCAAATTATAGTCCTTAAACTGTGGATGTTGTCTACTCTCAGCACTTCAATGATCCATGGCATAAGATAGCCTCCCCACCCTTATTGTGATACTAGAGACATGCCATTAGACAAGTATAAACCATCTTTCATCAGTGTAAAAAAAGGGAGGGACACACACAGTAACATACTAGTGGACCTTACCAGTATACAGTATAAAGTTACTCCTAGGGAAAAACATTGATCACAATATACCAGTCTAAATTACACCATAATATGTTCCGTCTGCAATTTGCATTGGCTTTTTATAACAATGTAAGTGATATTGAGATCCAGTATTAACAGATGACCAGTAATCCTGGGGAAACTATTGCTGCAATAAGTTTATTACAGCAATTCACCAAAAGGTGGCAGAAGAACACTTAATACGCTGTTTACATTTAAAAAATGGCTACTCTGGGATAACTGTGGACACAAGATGCACACCAGTGTAACTTTTATACGAGTCTATTTTACTGGGGTTTTTTTCCCCTGAGGTAACTTTACAACAGATTTTAATAAGTTACTTGAGTGTAGGACTATATGCCATACTGTCAGTGCTGGGTTAGATCTGACCCACACATCTACTCGCAGTACAGATCTAGGCCACAACAAGCTCTTTGTTCAGGTACTCAGCTGAATTTGATACCCCAGCTTAGGCGTTAACACCAGATACAGGTGTCATGTATTTGCAGTTATTCCAGGGGAGCTGTTTGATCAGTGCAAACAGACTATTACCTGCATCCCCACCATCTAATGGCAAGGAGTTTTAACAGCATCTACTCTAAAAGTTAAACTGAAATAATTAGTCATCTGTCACTGCATATCCTTATGTAGTTTACATTGGCAAACAAAGTAATATTTTGCTGGTATCAATGTGTCAAGTATTTAGGCTCACTGTCATCTCTTCTATCCAGTACATCTTTGTGTGAGCTGCTTTAATTTGATACAAAATTAAAGAAAACTTTAATTTAGTTGCATTTGGTTCATAAAACATTTCCCTTTTGTCATGTACTGAGAGAAGATTAGGATTGAATGCATCAGTTCTTTATCACTAGTAGAAGCAGGAAGAGGCAAATTGTAACTCTTCATTCATTTTGTACATCTGTGTTAACCATGCATGCATTTGTCTGTCATATGTAATAGTATATGCAATTAATTGGTAAGAGATTAAAGGAGTAAGGTAGTCTAGTGGTCTGTATGTACAATATATTTCATTATACCTCACTTGTTAAATATAAAGGAATCTGATATTGTAAGCCAGAATGATGCACAATACTGTGAACAATCATTAAAAACATAGTGAGCACCATGATACAAGATCTCTTCACTAAAATATTAAAGACCTATTGCTTTTTAGTTCATGATTTTTAGTATATCATAGGCTGATAGTAAGAAACTGATTTTTCTAAAATGGTAGTCTTAATGTGATTTATGCTATGATAACATAAGTTTTGGTGTCCACATCATAAAAAAATTAATTTGGCCCAGGACTCCTTTCTTTAAAGATGGATGAGACAAGCTGGTGGGTCATAGTATGAATACTTGCACAGCTACCCCCTATCCTGCACATATTAGATAGTTTGGAGGTCTTCACACCCTACAATTTGCCAGTTTCATGCCTCTCTCTAGGCATTAAATTCACTCTCAAAAACAAGCAAATAAAACCAGATTATAACGTTTATAGCAATTCCTGTTACCTGGTTCCAGTACTACCTCAAGTAGCCTGTTCAGTAAGGTTTTTGCCTGTCTCTGGTGAAAGATGTCTGCTGCTTCCTCACCTACCTGAACAAGGACAGGACAGTTATCCAAGAGTGTGGTAGTGTGGGACATTGATCATAGTCCAGTCACAATCTCAACAGAAGCCTAGGGTATACTACACCTTGCAAAATAATGTCCCTGGTGGCAAAATTGCAGTAAAGATTAAGATGATGCTGATGTTGGTGTTCGAAGGAGGGAAACAACTTAGCTTTCTCCTATTCATTTTTTTTTTAAGTTAGCCATGCTTTGGTATATGATGATTATATTATGGGCCTATGTTACATATATAACTGGAGTTTTGAACCACATCAAAAATGGGGGTAAAATAAGACTATTTTAGAATATTGTATTTAAGTATTACTTTGTAAAATATACAAATATAATTTCTAGTAAATGAACTGGATTCATTGCTGACCTCCCAGAATATGTTCATAGCAAAATTAAAGGAAGAATGTTGTGTGTTGGCAAAGAAACTGGAACGTATAACAGAAAAACACAGGTAGGTGTTATTTCTTACACTAGTCTTGTTAATTACAAGCATGCTACCGTATTTATTTTTATTTACATTTATTATTCTCTTGCTCTAAACTTGTCATCTACACCTATTACAAATCTGTTCAATATAAATACAACATCTGCAACTTGAGAAACCAGGATGGATTTTGTCCAGAGTATTTCTAATTTTCTACTTTTCACGTGATATTTTTGCCTTTTCATTCAAATTACTTGGACTATTCATATGTGAGAAATCACATGTTATGTTCTTATTAACACTGGTATTCTTCATCTGAAAATTAGTAAATTGACAGTAAAATAGCCACAATTCCAACTTAGTTATTGGAAATTATGCTAAGAATACTAAATTTTTGGTTAAAGATTTCAGGCTGCATTTTATTGGGTATCTGGGGTTAAATGACATAGAGTGTTTTAAATAAGTCATTTACTTAATAATAGCGCACACTGGCTAATAATTCTGGAAGATTGCTCAATCAGATTTACCCTCTCAACAAACTGTTGTGGAAATTGCTGCTTACTAAGGGCCCAATTTCAGAGTTGCTTATGCAATTTTCCCTTTGAAATCAATGGTAGTTTTGCACACAGAGTGGCTAAAGTATTAGATTCTAAAATGAAGTAAATGTTGGAGGAAGAATTGCATTTGTATATACGAATATGTGCTGTATTAATGTATCCTATTCAGAATTACTTCCTGCAGGAAGGTCATATTGCAAATAATTGGCCTCAGAATCTATATGAATATGTTACTTAAGTAACATAATACAGGTTTTTTTAATTTGTATTCCCAAAGACTGAGAGTCACTTCTATAGGGAAATCCTTCACAAGGCTTGTTTGCCATTTAACTTCTACTCATAGCACAAAGTGGGACTGATGCAGTGTGTCACTTTCTAAACCAGGAGTAAATTTAAGTGAATTGGGTAACAAAATATTTATTAACGAGATTAAAAATCGAGGGTATGTAAGTATAATCATTAAAAAAGAAACTCCTCCATTGTAAATATTGTGATAGTCAATCAAATAGCACTTTTCCCAGCCAAGCTGCTTTCCAGATTATCCAACATTGCAAGAGCGCCATAAGTAGTCTCAGCCCAAGGAGTCAGAGAAGTTTGAATCCTGGATTGATTGGAGGTGAAGTAATTAGATAAAGTAATTGAAATAAGATTCACATTTTTTTTCTTCATATATTATTCTAACAGCCTTTACAGTGTAAAGATCGTTTCATAAGAACTCAGTTATAAAACAAGCAGTATGTGAAGGATAGGGAAGATGATGTGGAATGGAAGTGTATATTTTTTGTGTACATGAATACATCTTTTGAAGGATTTTCTGTGCACCAGAAGCAGTGGGGAAGAGAGCACGGAGGCAGTTGGGAGAAGTGGATATATTGCTGGTTGCGATTAAGATTGTTGCATTGGGGGTTAATGTAATCAGAAACAAAAAAGGATGGATAGGGAGAGGCAAAATTGTGAGGGGATTTAAATAAAGACAAGAAGACTGAACTAGATGGAAAGGGAAACCTACTGAAGGGATTCAGAGAGGTGAGACAACAGAAACTGCAGACAGGAAAGATTATTTGATTCGCTGCAATTTGAATGGAACAAAGTGGTGCTATGTGTATCAAGAAAATTTATATGCTGTTTGCTTTCACCTCTCTTCCACCTGAAACTTCTTTCTGTCACATGATCGCAAGGTATCATCACTGCAATTTCAAGAATTGGTGGACATGGCATTTTCTTTTAAAATATTCTTTTTCCCATTGGATTTTACAGTACCTACTGCTCAGAAAAGACTATCTCCCAGCATAGTTTCCTCAGTATACTTTACCTGCACAACTGAAAGGCGCTTTCACTACACTTAGGCAGAGTGGTCTTTGTATAGGCTTTACCTGCTCTCAAAATACTGGACCGTAAGCAGTGCATTAGTGTGCTTAGTGATTAGAGTCGGGGTCTGGGGCTGGTCTGTATAATTTTAATCCTGGATATACAACTGTTTTGCTGTATTGCCTGGGATATTTGTGGCACAGTATCCCCATCAGTAAAACAAGAATGATGAAGAATATGAAACTGCGTCAATTAATGTGTGTAAAACACTTGAGCCTTATTACAAGATCTAGTAGGAATGTAAAGTATTTATTAAATATACTAAAGCATTTGGTGTGGATTATTCATTATGAGAAATGTGTTACCTTCCATAACATATTTATAGAGCTGAATTTTAATTTAGTGTTTCTTTCTGAAATCTGTAACATGGGTGGTTTTGTTTTGGTTCTGCTTTGTTTTTGGGGGGAAGAACTACTACTAAAATGTTTTTTGTGTGACTGAGCCCTTCCATGGGGTTAGGCAAACCTCAGAATTATCAAATCACTGAACAAATTACATAACCTTCATGCTGTTTGCAAAATTAATCATGTTTGTGAAGATACTATATGTATGTGAAAGTGTAAACAAAAATCAGAAAGTAGTCCTTTGTTGATGTCTTCTGTGTTATTTTGTTCATTTTTTCTCTGATTGTTACTATCTGAATTTCTGGGCTTGTAGATTGATGCTTAACACTGCCCACAGTGTATTTGTGATTTGCGTTTTGTAATTAAGGGGAACAATGGGAGTCCATTGGGTATCGTTATATATAATGGTTGGTTTAATTTGTTTCACTTCTATCTTGTTAATTGTAAATTGATCATTAAGATTTGAATTCTAATCTGTCACCAGGGTTGTGAGTATTGAAGCTAGAGCAATGATCCTGGTTTTAATCACTGATGATGAGAAACAAATTTTATAATTTTGGTACATATTGCAGTTCATATATTTTAACACTGTATTTTATGGTGTTATAAATATTGTTAAATGACTTTTAGTGTAGTTTTACTGTTTGGACTATAATGTATAAATTATATTACTGTTTTGGCAACAGTAGGCATCCAACTGTGTGAGTTTAATTGAAGTAAAGAATACACACCCGCCCGGCTGAACTATTTTTCTGCATGTTTGGTTGATGTTGTATTGAGAGACTGCAGTTACTGCACTCGACACCATGAGTAAAATGTTAGCCCAGTGTAGTGTTACAAGGATGTGAAACACAGTGTGTCTGGAAAAACAGTCCATTACATGATTTATTATCCCCTCACAGAAGAACTATTTTTATCCCGATTAGATCAGTTAAAAATGTTATTTTGCAGTGCTTGTAATTGAAATACAATAAAATTGGCTGGTTTTCTGAGGAGGAAGAAGTATCACTGCTGAATAAAACAGCTAAGCTCCAATCTGCACTGTGTCCTTGAGAGGTACAATGCAGAACATAGTCAGCCTGGGGGAAAAATGGACAAAATCAGTATCATCAAACCCAAGTATTTCAAAAGTCCATCCTCGAATATCATGAAACTGCCTTAAAAATCATGACAATTAAAAATTATGGATATTTCAGTCATATGAATCCAAGAGCTTATGGCTATAAGAAAAACAGCAAAAATCATGAGACTCTTGATAATGCCACAAAGGATGGCAAAACTGCAAGATGATTGTTCATCAGCCATTTTTTGCCATCTAAATTCTGGGCTGTGCAGGGACTGATACAACTTGTGATGTAACATAGCAGTGGCTCTCAACCTTTTTTGTACAAGGACCCATTTCTAAACATTAGCCAGTCTTGACCCAGTGTTCCTCACTCCTGACCCACTGCCCTAGACCCCAGCTCCCCAGTGTGGGGCAGGGGTGAGTGTATGGGACAGGGAGGCATGCAAAGGTCCCAAGCAGCCCCTTGCAGGCTGGAACTCTGCAAGGGAAAAGCCATGGTTTCCCACGTTTTTCTCCTTTAAAGGAGACTCACTTTTGGGTCATGACCCATGGGTTGAGAAACACTGACATAGAGCATGGGCCCACAAGCAAGTTACTGTGAGGGCAGTGACAGCAAAGATATATAGCACGCTGACTATCTGTGTTAACTGCAGTTACTGCACAGGAGCTAATGTGCTGTTAATCCCCTCCATCTGTTACCTAACAGTAACTTGTTTGTGCTCCCATAACCTTACGACAGATCTAGGTGGTAGAGTACATATATATCTGACCTATTTCAAGTATCAGAATCATTATGGCTGCATTAGCTTGAAGCTCCATCTGAGCTCACACTGCCACTGAGAAAAATCTTTAATGTTTCCAAGTGGAGTCCCTGTACTTCAGATATTCTAAGCACTTGGAGGAGAAGGTGGTTAGGAACAGTCAGCATGGATTCACCAAGGGCAAGTCATGCCTGACCAACCCGATTGCCTTCTATGACAAGGCTTAGTGGATACAGGGAGACCAGTGGATGTGGTATACCTTGATTTTAGCAAGGCTTTTGATATGGTCTTCCACAACATTCTCTCAGGCAGGCTTTCAGAAGTATGGGTTGTTTGAATAGACTGTAAGGTGGATAGAAACCTGGCTGGATCATTGGGCTCAGAGTGTAGTAATCAATGGCTCAATATCTAGTTGGAAGCTGGTATCAAGTGGAGTACCTTAGGGGTTGGTCCTGGGGCCGGTTTTGTTCAATGCCTTCATCAAAAACCTAGAAGATGGCATAGAGTGCACTCTTAGCAAGTATGCAGATGACACCAAACTGGGAGGAGTAGTAGATATGCTGGAGGGTAGGGCTAGGATTCAGATGGACCTAGACAAATTGGAGAATTGGACCAAAAGAAATCTCATGTGTTTCAACAAGGACAAGTGCAAAGTCTTGCACTTAGGAGAGAACAATACTATGCACCAGTACAGGTTGGGGGCTGATTGGGTTACAGTGCTTATAAGCTGAATGTGAGCCAACTGTGTGCCTTTGTCACCAAGAAAACTAATGGCATACTAGGCTGCACTGGTAGGGGTGTTGCCAGCAGGTCCAGCAAAGGGATTATTTTTCCTCTATTCATCACTGGTAAGGCCAAATCTCAAGTACTATGTCCAGTTTTGGGCCCCCCAATACAGAAAGGATGTGGACAAGCTGGAGAGAGTCCAGTGGAGGACAACAAAAAAGGCAAGGGGGCTGGGGCACATGGCTTATGAGGGGATACTGCAGAAACTGGGCTTATTTAGTGCAGAGAAGACATGGGATTTAATAGCAACCTTCAGCTACCTGAATGGTGGTTCTGAAGAGGATGGAGCTAGACTGTCCTGAGTGGTGGGAGATGACAGAAGAAGGAGCAATGGTCTCAAGTTGCAGCAAGGGAAGTTTAGGTTAGATGCTAGAAAAAGCTTTCTCACTAGGAGGGTAGTAAAACACTGGAACAGTTTACCTATAGAGGTTGTGGACTCTCCATCCTTGGAGGTTTTTAAGACCTGGCTAGACAAAGCCTTGGCTGGGATAGTCATGCTTTGAGCAGGGGGTTGGACTAGATGACCTACTGCAGTCCCTTCCAACTCTAATTTTCTATGATTCTAACTATGAATAAAGCTCACGGAGGACATTTAGATTTATGCCATCAAAAACATTACTGCAGCCATGTCCAACTGCATATTCAAGTAGGGAGCAGCCCACTATTAAGTTGGGAAACCCCACAGACATAGTATTTAAAATAAAAAATAAACCTAATAGAAGATCCTCCTTGCTGTCATTCACCTGATGGAAAGATGTACCAGGTGTCAATGAACTTAGTCCTTGGGATCACAATATTAAGAAAAAAATGCACCAGAGCTTTCCCCAAATCTGTCTCTCTGCCAGTGACTAGCCCATCTGACAAAAAGTTTTTTATGGGGTGATGCTATAAATTCATCTACATTTCTGTAAAAATATTGTTTGAGGATTCTACTTTAATCCCTGTTAAATCCAGCATACTCTTATCCATATATCCATCTCAGTAAGGTCCTTTCCTCTATAAACTTTATATGCAACGATTTGCAAGTTTTAATCCAGAGCAAAGGCAAACCTCGTTTATAATTTTTCCATGACATTCTTGGTAAATTGTGACTTCATAATTATACTAAAGTGAATATGTTCTGAGCAATGCCTTCTCTATAGCTACACTCAGATTAGTTCCTGTTTGACAGATTTGAATGTTTAGCATATGTGGTTCTTCATGTAATGGGAAACATCATTGCCTGAACATCATTACCAGGTTTGCCCTGTCACCGTAACAGAAACCTGTTCCTGATGTGACAGATTCTGTCTTCCTTTTTCTTTTTTAGAATGTCCTTGTTTTGTTTGCAGGGGGCTGAAGGTAAAGTGTCTTCATCCTAAAACTGTAAAATACTTACATTTCTTATTTTAAAGATATCTCTGGGGCTCTTTCATCTCCAGAACTATGTAACATGTCACCTTGGTGAAAATAAACTAGCATGCTTATATTTGTGCTGGAGTGTTGTACATTTCCAGGACTGTAGCAAAACCCCCAGTTTTTTCTTTTTTTATTTATTTTAAAATGCATTCCCTCCCCTTCCCCAACCATTTTTTACTTTTTCTCTCCCTGTATTTTCCCTATAGACAAGTATAAGTAAGCTAAGATGTAGGATAAGCTTTAAGGTTTTATTTTAGGTAGTAAGTTTTATTTTTCTCTCCCCTCTTTGCAAATAAGTTCCCTGCTATTGTGATATCGATAGCCACTGTTTTATAAGTGATAATTATTATGTTTGTACTGCTTTTATATTGTGTGATTGCTGTTTTAGGCCTATATATGTAAGGTAGTGTAAGTCATGTCATGTTTCCATTTTGTATGTCAAGCCTCCATCTTGTGTCCTCTGCCCAGGCATCCCCTGTGTTGCAACTGTATGATTCATGTACCCCTCCTATGTAAATTGGTTTCTAGATGAATGAGAATGATTGGGAATGATTAAAATACAATGGTAGCAGGCCTCTACTGAATGGCCTGTAACGACCAGGCCATCACCTCGCGTTGATTCATCGAGGAACCACAGACCTCACCCAGGAACAGAGACAAGAACCCAGCATTTGAAAGACAAAAGACTCTGCAGAACCAGCAACTCTCACCATTACAGACCCCTGAAACTGCACATCCGTGCATGGAGCACACATGCTCAGTACGCCAGGGGCTGACCCTTGCCTGGGCATGCCTCCTGTCACTAGGGTCACACAAGATCTGCCCCTATAAAAAGGGGCAGTGCAGACAGACCCAGTGGGACACCCTCTCCATCTGGACCAGCACCATGCCACACCACCTATCCACCCAGCGGCCCTGCCAGCGACCCCCCTCTGGACAACATCTACTAGACAAGAACCCCTTTCCAGCCTGGATAGGTAGCTATCACCCCCACCCCCTCTTCAACCAAGGACTTGGACTCTGCTTCTCTTCCCTACTTGGACTTCAACCCTTCCACTGAGTCTCTTTCTCCTCCTGCTATTGTAAGTGCTTTTGTTTTTGTGTGTGTGTGTGTGTGTGTGTGTGTGTGTGTGAGAGAATGAGAACCAATAACTTCATGGGGCTGTGTAGTGTGTTGTCTGTGTAATAAAACTGTTATTTGGACCCCTAAGTTGGGTTTTGCTTTACTATGATTTGGCCCTGCTCCAATCTCTGCTCCTCACCCCTCTAACTTCTGTTTCATTTCTCCCTCTCCTGCTTCTGGCTCACTGCCATCTCCAACACCTGTCCTGAGCTCCTCTCTGCCTCCAAACCCCCTGTTTCTTTGCCACTGTCTTATCCCCACTGCCTTTTCCTTTTCTCTTGAGCAACCAGGTTTCTGCCTCAGTTTCTTTCCTGGCTGTCTCCTCCTTGCCACCACTTATCTGCCCCCCCCCAACATCTCAGCTGTCTGCCTCAGTTTCCAGCCCTAGTCTACCTTAAGTAAACCCAAGCCTCAGTTCCTCAGCCAGTTTCTCTGTAGTCCACCGGTTCTAATCCCAGTTCTGGCAACTTTCACTCCCTACACTTTAAGTCTCTGTCTCTCTCACCTGACCCTTCCCACAAGTATCCCCGGTACCCCAAGCACACACGTACACACTGTACCATCCAAGTTAGGAACTTACCTGTGTGTATGTATAGGTGGGTTGTATGTGTGTGAACTGGTGTGTGTGTGTGTGTGTGTATATATATATATATGTATGTGTCATTGTGTGCATGATGTACGAATTAGTGATCTGTGTCTAACTTTTGGGGTGTATAGTGTATGTGCTTAAATTGGTGATAGGTGTGCATGTGCCTAGGCTGGTTTGGATGTGTATGTGCCTGAGCTGGTAGAGTGTGTGTGTGTGTATGCATGCATCTAATTGATTTGTGTGTTTGGATATGTGTAGTTGTGTCACACCCTCCTGTCTAACAGCGCAATATTGAGATCCTGAGAGTTGGGCTGACCCCACAGGGCAACAGGACCATCGTGGCTAGAAGAGGCAATGGTTATTTTGTTCAATTTTCTATTGAACTAACTGTATAGTTGGAAAAGGTATTGGACAAGATTTTGGGTACAAAGTGCTGTTCTTCAGACCTCCAGACCTGCAGAAGAGCACTTTGTGTCCAAAACCTTGTCTAACATCTCTCCCAACTATGCAGTTGGTCCAATAAAACATACCACAGGAAAAAAAAAAACATATTTTTTATGTTCTAAGCATGCCCCCTTATTAAGCATTAGAATATACACATAGTATACATATAGATTTTCATCACAATTTTTATGACATTTTTATAGTAAAAGCAGTAAGGAGCACCAGGAAAGCCAGAGCTCCTAGTATGAGTAGAAATGAACTTCCCTATCATTAGCTAATGGTCAAAGATATAGGTAGGGGAGTAATCCCAATCAACTCATGCTTGGACTTGCTGTGATTCTACAACATTGGAAAATGAGAAGTACTTAATTTTCTTTTGCACAGCCTTTACAGATCTTGTCTTTGCACAGACTTTACAGAGGATCAGGTGCAACACTTATGACCTTTCTCTTATTTCTTAAGCTGTGTATTTTCCTCTTAAAAATCTCCCTTTGCCAGTGCCGCACTTATGTTTTCAGGATATTGGCCCAATTTTACTGTCAGTGATTCCAGCGTCATTTGAGTTTCCTGGATTTATCTCATTTGATATCAATAAATAATTCTTTGCCATTAAAATTAGCCATTATGGTGACCAAACCAAGTAAGCAAAAATTATGGTCTTGCAGAAGGGGATTTTCACAGAACTATGCTTGATTGATGGTCAGTATTTGTAACTGCGTTACCAAAAAGTCATGCTTCCATGCATGTGGATGTGGCTTAACATTTAAAAAATGAGTATTTGTTTGTATTAAAAGGCTGTTTTAACATTACAGCTGTAGGAGTTTCATAACCATCAAAACCATATAATGGTGTACACTGCAGGATAAAGTCTGACAGCACCCATCATCCCTGTGTTTTTATTTCTGTAGGTCTGAAGTCAGCCAGCTTAGTCAGGAGAATGTGTACCTCCATGACAGATTGGAGAAGATGCAGAAAAGGAATGATGAATTGGAGGAACAGTGTATCCAGCATGGGAAAATGCATGAGAGAATGAAAGTGAGGTAGGAAGCTCTTTTAGTCCATCCATATGTGGTATATTTTACTGTACTTGTTATGTTGTATAAATAAAAAAAATGATGTGGAAGTGTTTGAACAGTTCTAGTCTTTATTTTTTTAAGCAACTAACCAAAACTTCACAGGCCATCTTCTGTTTGTGATGTTTTGGCTACGTAATAAGATTATTATCTGTCATTGGAAATCCTACTGTTAAAAGTATTATTTGAGTAGAAGCTATTCATTTTTGTAGGTCAGAAGTACCTGTTATGTCATGATCATGTTTAAACAGTGTTCTTCCAGAAGTAATTCCCTACTAAAAGGCACCAGCTCCCTCAGCTGATCTTTCCATTCTTCATTTATGGGGATTAAAAATGAGGTAGATCATAACCTTTTGGGGCAGAGCTACCTCTTGGTATGAGTAGACACTTTCCCAGCAAAGGGACAACATGTCAGTAATGTAAAATAGGGCTGCCGATATGCAGCTGTTATGTCTGGTGGGATCAGACAGTCCTGAATCAGGGAATTACTTGCCTGCTCTATATGGCCTGCTTCTCTGCTCCTTCTGAGCTTATCCTTGCTGCAGAGGGGTTGAGGATTTGGCAGCTGGCCCCTTGGATTAGGGGAAAGGGCAGAGACTTGCGGCCTGCAACAATAGCCAGGTTGCAAGCTCTGACCTGCACTGGCACAAGATTGCTAACCCCTGGTCATAGACTGTTTAACCACTGGGCACAGTGTCCTCCTATATATTTGTGCAGTGCCTACCACAACAGAGCTGTGAACTCAGTTGGACCTCTGGTCATCACCGTGATGCATATAACAAGTAAGAATATAAAATGTGGACTTTCTGTTAACAGGAGTTGAGAATTGTTATTAGTTGCCTCATTTTGAATGGTAAGATGGATCATAGTCTATAAAATAACAGTTCAGATACTTGGTGTGGGATAAGTAAGGATGAAGGTAGGATGAATTATAAACTAATAGAGGTCAGGGTAGATTTGCACCTTGTAGGGTAATTAAATCAGAGATACGTAAAACTTCATAAGCAGCAGCTTACTAGCATCTGACTATTACTGAAAAACTAGTTCAGTAACTGGGCACATCTACATGTGACACTGTCGCCATAGTGACATGCTCTGGCGACGTAGCATCCATTGGTGTCTGCATGTGACCAGCAGCTACTTCAATGTAGTGACATGCTTCCTCATTATAGCTCACTACTACAGCAAAGTAGCTGCTAAAAATACTATGCCATGAATACGGTGCAGTATGGGAAGTTGCTGCACTATGCTTTAGTATGTCCAAAAGGAAGTACTGTGCCATGCTACTGTGCTGTGCTTTAGTAACAACATCACCATCAGGCAACCTGTAGATGCACCCAGAGTTTCCCAAATTCAGTATTTTTGAATCTATAAATGTGGCTTAGGTTATCATGTGATTGAGTCACAATCTTCTTTAATATCCTACTAAAATCTTCAAAATGGTGAGTATTTGTTTTCTTAATCATTTAATTCCTTATTGAAATTTCAGGTAGTTAAAGGAAAATTACCAGGAGCAGCTCTAAAGTGACAGTAAGGTTGTTTTACATTTTTCACAATGAAGAACTGTAACAGATTAAGTATGAGCTAATATACAAATATAGTACCCAAAGTTGATGAACTTGCCTATGAATTTTTCAGTTCAAGAGCAGTACAAATAGTCAGAAGTCATAAAAGGCCATTATTTCCTGGCATGTGCATTGGGTACTTTGCACAAACCAAAAATACTTAACAAGGTTTTTTTCTATTATTCTAGACTAGGGGTGCTCAAACCCCTGCTGGCATGCCAGATCTGGCCCGCAGAGCCATGCCATCTGACCCATGGGGCTCTCCATGGGTCTGAAAATTTGGCAGTGGGGGAGTGGTGAGAGCAGTCATAGCTCCCTGCTGCCAAATTTCTGAACCTGTAGAGAGTCCCATGGGCCAGATAGACATAGATGGGGCATACTTAGGCCTGATCTGGACGTGCCTGGAGATCATATGATCTTGTAGCACAGCTGAGCAGAGACAATGTGAGGGCCAGAGAGGTATGCAGGGCCCCAGTCCAGCAGCATGGATCCTTAGGAAGCAGCAGAGGGCCCCGGGAGGCAGTGTGGGGCCCCGATCCTATGGCATGGGGCTGAGGGAGACAGCACAGGGCCCCCATCTAATAGTGCTAGATTTAATCATGTTGTGTAGGTCTGAGGGAGTTGGTGAGGAACCCCAGTATGGCAGCCTTGGGCCCTGATCCAGTGGTAGACCAGGAGGTCTGATCTGGCCTACAGATGGGCCCCATCCTACTCACCTAGCCTGCCACATTGAAAGTTTTATCGCCACGGTCCTAGACCTATGCCTGCCTTAGTAGGTTATCTGTTCTCAGAAAGGTCAGTGTTATTTGTTCTCCTTGCTGTGCAGCAATGGAGTTTTCTGTGTACGGTCTTTCTCAGATGCCAGTGATCACACCAGCATGCTATAGAGGATGATTATTTCTCTGTGTAGTGATGCTTCTTTGTATGTGACTACACATAAGACTGAACTTCGTGTACCTATCACATAGATGGCTCACATCTAATTGGTTATCTGATGTAATCCCTAGATTTCTTTAGGCGTTATTGTTTTTCTGGTTTGTTATTTCATTGAATACTACTTGGCTGCTTTTCCATTTATTCATATGCTTGATAGCAGTCCTTCAGCTAGTTTCCAATTCACAGGACACTATTCATGTCAAAATCAATTTGAATTAATTTTGGAAATAACCTTCTTTGTGTCAAATGCTTTTTAAAAACTGAAATGCAATATCTAGTGTGCTTAGCTCCCTCTATCCACTAATTCTATCAGTGTCAGGAGTCTGTGTTCTTCATTATTTCATTCCTCTCTCCATATATATAAAAGTTTCTGTATTTCCAGCACCTAGTCAACAAGGTGCAAGCTCTAACTTGAATATTAAAATAGCTTCAATGTTCATCACCCTTTCCTCCTTTGAATATCACACTTTCTTTTTCCTGCTCCGGTATGTTTCCCCACTTTTCTCTCTGTTTCAGAAATGGTTAGTATGTCAGTTCTTCTTTTGTATGGCATCAGATATCAACTTCCAAATCTGAGCCACTGTCTGATAATACTGCTCAATGCACAGATTCCATTTGCCCTGCCTGGGCATTCGTAAAGATTGCAGCTTTCAATTACGTGCTGTGCTGTTTGTTGGATACTACATTCACGCGGGGGCCTGTCCAAGATGTTCATCTTGTGAAGTGTTGTTTTGAAGCATCTGTATCCAGATCTCAGTCTGTTCAGCTTGACCTACATTTCTCTGTCAAGGTCATGCCCAATGGGGACTTGTTTGGTGCTGGTATAAAACGCTGTAGAAATAGTCCATTGCTGCTTGTAGGGTTGGTTCAGCTTTCCCAATCTCTTCCAGGAGCTTGTGGGCTTCATGTACAAATGGTTTACAACTTTTGAGCCTCTTAAGCCTTCCACCTGTTCACATCTTCAGTTAACAGTTGATGAAGCAGGTGATTTTCATTATCTCTTGCCTCTATTGCCAGTAATGATGTTAGGGTCTGTCTTCTTATATAACTTGGTCTAATGCCTGAGAGTACAGGAAGTACATCTGTGTGCATGTAAGTTGTGCAGCTTGTTATGAGTCCTAGCCCACTGTTAAGTACAGTGTTGATTTTTTTAGTATGACAGTTTCTAGACCATACAGGAGCAAAATATTCTGGGGTATATACCATTGCAAGTACAGTGGTCCTGAGCACTTGGAAGTTGGCACCCCTTGTTCATGCTACCTAAACATCTTAAGGCAGTACTCATGCAGAGACTTTACTTCTGACCTTCTGAATATGATGTTTATAGGTAAAGAAAAAGTTTAATGCAACTTGTAGATAGGTTGGGGTATGCTCATAGGGAAATATGTGGCTACCTACTCTGATATTCAGCATGCTTGTGGCTCAATGATCATCCAGGTGGAAGAGTAAAGCTATGATTTATTGATGCTCAACATTAAGCATCACTTGTGGAAATAGTCAGAGATGAGTTCCATGTCAGTACTCAGTGTCTTTTCCAGTTCTGTCGTGTCTGTTTCTTGGGCTACTATGGCGACATTGTCATCATACATGTATCACTTAGGTGTTACATGAAGCAAGTCTGAGATGTATACATTGAAAAGTATTGGTGCTAGCACTGACACTTGGGGGGATTCCATTCTTTGGAGCTCATACTCTGCCTTTTTCTCCTTGTCTGGTACTGAGTTTGAATGATCTGCTGGAGATCATGTTCATGATAAAGGTGCATGGCTTATAGTCAGGTATCAGTTGGACTTTCAAGTATGTCAATATCTTACTACAGGTGAGAAATGTTTTATGAAAATGTTTCATGTAATGAAATGTGGTACTTGCGTAAAGGAAAAACATGTTTTCAGGTACTTGTAACTACTCGGGTTTTGTTATGGGAAAACAAAGGACAGTAACAATAACTGTTTAAAGCAAAGAGTCTTTTTCCAGTTGCGTGAAGTGTTAGATAGAGCAAAATCTTACTAACTGATGCATCAATTTCTTTTGAAGAAACAGCTTTTCTGCAAGGAAAATGTTTGTATCAGTGAAAACCGACCAAATTATATTTTCCCTTTTGGTCTATTCCTTTTCTATGTAAAATATGCTGTTCATAAATTTCTGTTCTGATTATATAGATTTTTTTTAAGGACAAGAACTTTATATTTAAATTACAATTATTAAAGTTGTTTCTTTCAATGTCATGGAAATATTCATCACTTTCACTGTTTATATGCTCAGTGAAATATGGCAGTAAAAGAAAGTAGATGTCCAACTGCCAGAGAGATGGTTGACACCTGCTATTGAAATGTAATTGAGCTGAGAAATTTACAGTTTGTGGGGGCAAAAGACCAACATTAAGATTCTCTCTACAGCTAAATGGGATGTTCTATTATTATTATTATTATTATGTAGCAATGCACGATGACCTCCTTGTCTTGTCCT